CTCCACTTTCATTCAGCTAAATGGGCAGTAACGAAGCTGAATTCAGTTCAGCAGACAGGTTCTCACTAATTCTTCAGAGAATTTTAATGATAATCATTTGCATAAAAGCATAGGCCATGACAGACAGAGATGATGTGGCCACTGCTAGCTACTACAGAGTCAAAAAATCAGGCACCCGACCCACTGGCTGATTCAGAAAGGCATTAGCTGCCCACAGCTCCTGTATAGTCAATTGAGGGAGCAATTAGCTAGCGACTAGAGAGAATTAAACTCCTTAGAAGGATAATCCACAAAAAAAGCCCTCCCAACAGAGCTGGAAGCTGCAAGGGTCTAGTTAATAAAAAGGCAGAGAAAGGGATATTTTCGAGCATGTCTCCCTCTCGGGGGTTAGACATCTCATTTGGAGCCTTATATTACATGCCCCTGCATGATTCAGAGCTTTTTGTTAGAAGGAGGCATCAATTCAATAGGAATATTTTTAAAGGCGGGGGGTGGTGATGCTTACACCCACCTCAGCTTGAAGTAATTCACGGCAGCTTTTCCCATCTGCTGGCAAAGTGTCTTGAGCAGAAAGATACCCAGAGATTGCATGTGTTGGTCCTTCACGTTTCCTCTTTGTGCTGGGCATACTCAGTTAAGAAGGTGAGAGGAAAAAAGCAATGGATGAGGGCAGTCCCAGGGTTCCAGCACCCCCATCACGGATGGACACGGCTCTCATTGCCCGTGTCGTTGTCCTCATCACTGCCTGCCTGCGCCCAGGCCAGGGAGGTGACCCAACCAACACTGCATCCCTACCCAGAGCAGCTCCAGGAGCTCCAGGAATCTAATGCACTAATTGCACTTTCAAAACTAACATCCCAGGGCCTCTAGGGTTTTGGGGATCATGTGTTTCCAGGATTATTTTCTGCAGAAGCCTTAGCAGTCTTTCCTTCCAATTATGTGACAAAGTAGTCCTTCTTCATCTCCCCCTCCCCAGCTGTAACAGCTGCAGTACAATTTATACCACAATAGCCTTTAGGTATTTTTAACACCTACATCAAACAATAAAACATGGGGGTTTTGTTTGTTTTTGTTTTTTTGTAGTTCAGAATGGATGAAACACTAAGCCAGAGAAACAACCTTTAAAATCAAAAATTTAGTATTTGCATATGCTCAACTTTTTTTTATTTTTGTTTCATATAAATTTTACCTGCACTTTTTTCCTTCTCACCAAGGACACAAACTTGTCTTAGTTGGTATACCAAGACTGTTCTTTCAAAAAAAAAAAAAAAAAAAAGCGAGAAAATCAACTTTAGAGTGTCAGCAGGTAATTTTCAGGTATGCCACTAGAGGGCAGGTTGCACTCGCCATATAGCCTGCATAAGCCACATTTTCACAAGTAACTGTAAGACTAGCCACAGCTTTAATGCTATCACTATTAAATTCAGACCAAGCAAGTGAAAAGAGCAAAATATCAATCTTTACCATGGGCTCTTTTAATGTGTATAATATTAATCTCATGCACTAATTGCTTTTCTTCAGGAAAGGAGAACACCTACACTCAATTTACAAATGAGATCTGCACAAGTCTCTCTTGTTTAACTTACCCATCTCTAGGCAAAATCAGTTCTAACAAGCTAGATGGATAGGCTACGTATTTTGTTTTTTCACCCCAGTCTCTCTGTTCTTCTTCTCTCTCCCCAGTCCCACTGTCAGATAATCCCCCTGCCCATAATCAGAGCTGCTTTCAGACAAGGGCTGCAGTAACAGCAGCTACACTACTGCTAGTGTACCACTAGCAGGTGGTAGAGCACCACTCGTAGGTGGTAAAGCTAGTCAGGTACAGACTTAAGTCCTGGGGCCCCAAGAAAAAACCTCATTTAGCCTTGGATGTAACTGCCCAACCCGCCTCCTAAACTTTGGCATTCACGTCACACACAGAACCAAAGGCGGCAATCTTGATTCAGCAGCTTCTTGGTAAAACACAATTCGGCCCTAACTGGTGCATTTGAACGCTGACAGTCCTGTTGTGCTAGCAAGCGGTTGACATTTCCTGCTAAGAGAAGGAGACCTCAGAACTGGTTGAGAACTGAGATTGACGGGCACATGCCCCAGTCAGCTCCCTGGAGGCTTCTGGTAATGTCCTCAGCACCACACAAAGCTGGTCCCACGCAGCCAGCAGTCCCACAGAGGCAGGGAAACCGAACCAGTACCTACGGTACCAGGCAGGGGAGCAGCTGTTCAAGAAGAGCATCTTGGCTGCGGGGTTAAATGAGGGAATGGGTTGAAGCACCTGCAGCAGGGGATACACTGGTGTTTGTGTACTCTTCTCCTAGCAGCCTGAGAGCTCTTTGCTCAGGCTGCCTCCTTGAATCTCCTTTGGCTCCCATGCACTGTCCCTGCATCACGAAGTCTAACAAACACATAGTTTTGCTTTCTACAGCAGCAATGAGCCCCTCTCCGCAATTCTGCAAACACTTGTTCTCAGCACTTTCCGTTGGTATTCCCCTCCTCATGTTGGCTTTTGTGTATCTTGTGTATCTTAGTCTTCAGGCGTGCCCAGGTGGCACAACGCAGTACTGTGCAGGAGAAACCTGTGCTGGCTGTGAAGGCTGGCAACCACAGAGGGCATGGCCTTGCTCTCCCAAGGGCCGTGCAGCCTTCTTAGGGTGCTGCGAGGCTTTCCTGTGCAGCAGGATGGACTTCAGTGCACAGCCAGCTTATCAGTGTTGTCTGGAGGGAGTTCAGCTCCACATCATACTGCCAAGCGTAAGCCTTTCCTGGCCACCTAACTCATCTACGTTTTGAGCGGATAGATGCATAACATAGACATTTGAAACCTTAATGTGTAAGTAGGTATACAGATGTTGGTAGATTATGTCAAATTTGATATGAAAACAACCATTACCTAATCCCCTGTCAATGCTTCAGTGAAGAAAAACAGCAGTGAGAAATTCTGGTAAGGAGCATAATTAATTCCAAAAGAAGGCTGTATCTTTGGGCTTACAGGTGAACACAAGGCAATCTTAGCCTAGCACTGAGCTTGAGTTGAAGGGCAGTTGTACCAAATGTTGAATGATAATAGATCACCAAACGCTTTGTATGCTTACAGTGGATTTCCAAGAAGGCTGAACGCTGTGATCACGGTACCCGCGCGGTCCCTGCGGCAGGTCAGGCTCGCAGTGCGTGTTACCACGATGCCCGCTGCCTCCGGGACCCTCCAACAGGCCTGCGTAACCGCACTGCTACCCCGAGAGAAAGAAGTAGTAAAGAAAAAAAAAAAAAAAAGGAAGAGAAAACAGCTCAATAGTGGCTAGTATTAAACAGACCTGGAAGGAAGTCCACCGAAATATTTACTAAGTGGAATTTTATTCAAGCAGGCTCTAAGACACAAGTCATTACGGTTAATAAAAATGCCAAATCTGAGCATTCTGTTAATATAACACATGCACTGAGCCTGACACAATCTATTCAGGACTTAATTTCCTGTGTAAATGGACAGGACAGCCACACAAATACAGTGAAAATTATGTTTAAATGGCATTTATAATGGAATATTTATATTTATACTGGAATATTTAAGAAAGAGGTCCGGGGAATGCCATATCCAAACCTGCTCCCCTATCTGCAGACCTGAGTAATAGATGATATCTCAGCCTTGCTGTTTAAAGAGTTCTGGGTCCCAAACTTTGGCAAATATTTAGATAAGTTCTAGATTCTTTTCTGCAAGGAGTCTTCAACATTCACATCTTCCTAAATCACTAATGCATGGCTGTATCACCAAATATAAAGTAGCAGTTATAGAAAATTTGGGCCACAAGATGGGTTGCTTAGTAAAGGAGTCCTGTGAGAATATAACTAACCAAGTATTTAACTAACTTTTAGGTATGCAAAACAATTTGTCCTTTTATATGTGAACGGATATAGCTATAGATTCAGTTAATAATGACTGTGATTATTATACATCTTGGGAATAGCCACAGCCCAAATACCAGGCAGACATTGAAGGTAACTGCTTTATACTGTGACCAACATTTGATCTGATTCTGAGGAGATGCTTCTGTTTTTCTGACTACTTCCTATCTGATACCTGCTCCTTCAAGCTACACGTACTCACTCCTACTTCTCTGTTATTGGAGATAACAGAGAAGTTATCTGTAATTTCTCATTACTGAAAAATTCCTCTTTTCTCTGCATTTAGTACCACTTTACCTATTCTGAGCCACCCTTTCCTTTTCATACACACCACAAAACTGTGCAGAAGAGGCAAAACAGAGAAGGACGAGCACCACATGCAGCTTCTGCCAGAGGTCCTTAACTCAGATATAAAACAGAAGTGTGTATTTTAGCTATTAGGGAACTCCTGCTCTTAATCAAACTACAGGGATAGCGAGTTGAGATTTTTATCCAGAGTTAGAATCTGCTTGATCAGAAATAACATATGGAACCGATTATGGTTCTGAAATAACCTAAACAGAGGTTTCTCGGAGTATTCTGTCAGGCTGTACTCCCTTCTTCCCTCTTATCAAACTGCATGAAACATTTGGAACAGCAAAGCAGTCTACATCATTTATTCAGAATATTGATTGATAACTGTAAAATGATCTGCTATTCAAATATACATGTAGAGCTAATGACATTCTGCACATCTCAGAGATGTTAAATGAAATCAAAAACACACTGAGCTAAAATATCATCTTGCTTATTGATCAAGTTGTTTTTCTTCTTGTGTCGCATTCTCAGCTGTCTTGATCTAAATCTATAGAGAATATGTATCACACACTCCAGATAATCTGTGGAAATAAGAAAACTTTGGCCTGTCTTGGGCGTTACACATTAGCACCCAGAGACCTCACCTATTACAATTCACAAGATAACAGGGAAAAAAAAAGGAATGAGAACAATATATTTAGCTGCCAGAGGAGTGTGTGATAGTGGGTAGCTAAAAACCCATCTAAGATCTGAATAAACTAGTCAAGTTCGCCTCCTACAAGAGTAACCAAAGAAAACAAGCCACGGCACTATGCCTCTTCCATGTACTTTTTGGGGCTGAAGCTCACATTCATCAGTGGTTCAAAACCTTTTCTCTGTCTCCGGTGTTGAAAAAACACAAGCAACAGAACTAGCAGGACTAGAGCTGCAACTGCTCCTCCAACTGTGACTCCAACCATGATAGCCCAGGCTTGAGTTTCTTCAAGTGAACCTGGAAATACAGAAAATCTGAAGTAAGGATTTCTCATAATTTTATTTGTAAAATCACATGAGAGAACACAATATCATACTGTTTTTGACAACTATAACTACCTGCACAGTGTTTAACTGAAAACCCTACTACTTATGGTTCTGCTGACCTGCTGTGCATCACATCCTCTGATCTTGAACCATTACTGGGGAACTGTCTTCTTACACAATTTTCATCATTCTTGCTGCATAAGTAAGTCCATTCCAGTTCCACTTGGAACTTTTATTTTTAAACTATGCTTGCAGAAGATTTGAGCAAGAAATTCCTGATGTCCTGTTCTGAAAAATGCTACAGACACTGATGCCAGTTATAAAGTCTGACTCAAACAACATTCAGGAAAAACTCTCAGAGAAGCTTAAGGTATTTTCAATACCTGGAAACTATTTAAACATAAGGACTTAAATTCAGGGGCCTCAAGGAGATGTCACTTACTGACTACAGAAGTGACTAAAAGTTGTATGCCCCAACCTGAAGTATACCTCAACAAAAGACTTAAGGGCAGCCATGGCCAAATTGGATATGAAGCCAAAATGATGAGAGCCAACAATGTCATGCACGTTAACCCCCAGTTAGTTAATTATAGTGAATACGGTAGAATCATCAAGCTATAAATTTAGATGAAAGAGAAGGGTTATAACATAAAAACTTCACTCTCTGAACACTGATCATTCTAACAGAAATAGAAATGCTGCTTCACAGTGGGCTCAAAATGTATTTAGGTTGCAGTCAAGAACCAGCACAATCCCAAGCTGTCTTTGTTACTGCCTGGGTAAGCGATGCCCGAGGGGGAGCAGTATTGCCAAAGAAGAAGGTACAGTGGTCCAGAAGAAGGAAAATTGAAATGCATTAACAGGGGAAGTCACAACATTCAGAGGAAACTCTGGGGACATCCCTGAGAAAACCACTGCAGAGGCAGCTCCCCTGCATGAACGCAGCCTCGGAAGGAAGGGCAGGGGATTTCAATCCCTTCCTTGCAGTCTGTAGACCTTTAAGCGGTCTCCACAGATTAGAAACAGAGATACAAAGTAAAAATAAAATATTTTTTTGGTTAGATAAGTACCTACAGCCTCTTGATGGACTCAATAGACAGAAATACTGTGGGTTTTTTTAGCTTTTTGTCTTGATCTGGTTTGTGTCAAAGTTGATTTTAAAAGAACAGACAAACACTGAGGCAAAACATGCAGAAATCTTTAAAGTTTAGTGGAGAGTTATAACACGAAACACCCCATACATCCCTCAAGAGTATCCAAGCATCCAAAGCTTAGCAGAGGGCGTGTCTAATGAGTTTCATGGTGCAGTACAATGTGTAAAGCTAGCATTTTTTAATGACCAGCATTAGCCAGACAAGATTCCTGGCAGAGAGCCTGACCTCTGACAGATTAAAGGATGCTGTAACAGGCATAAACCGCCCTGGGAACAGGAGCCAAAGTCAGAGTCTCCCCAGACCCAAAGCAGCGTGCTCATCAATGTCAGAGCCGTTTAAGCTGGTGCATTTGGCTGCACAGCAGGAACAAACGGCACAAGCTTGTGGTCACCATAACACACCTGGCAAGTTGCAACTACCTGGGCTACGACAAGATGCCAGACACATGTGATTGCTAGTGACCTGGGGAATAGACACCTGCTTTTGCAAATTGTGCCTTATTTTCCAAATTCCTGCATCACTGAGAACTTCACCTGCCACACTGTTTGACCTGGCGGTATGGCCATATCTTCAAAACGTACCTGGCAGGTCGATGGCATAGGTGTAGCCAAGTTCCTCCGCAGTGAGGAAGAGTTGGTCATTGGTCACAGGAGGGAAAAAAGGGACCATGTTATACAGTCTGTTGTGACCAATGGGGGCCATCTCCTCAGGCCAGGCATTGTCAGGAGGGCTGAACCGCTTCATCCATTCGTCAAAGATGGCATCAGTAAAGGAGTGAAGAACCTGCAAAATCAATCCTGCATGTATATTAAGCTCTCTCTTGAGAAAATTGCACAGTGGGTCTACGCAGATGCTAAGCATGAGCATGGGGAGGGTGGGGAGACACCAGTCACCAAAGAGTGGAGCTGGCACACTGCCTGCCCTCAACAAGCACAACGGTTCTGTCACCAGAGGAGAGCATAGGACTCAGGCTGCCCCTCAGAGAACACCCCAGCTTGGTTCCCACATCCCTCTCACCTCCTCAGGGATGGAAAAATTTTGCCTGCCCTCCCCTGGCTACAGCACATGTCCCAGGGACCTGCTGGGGCTACACTGGTGTCCCACCATACACAGAGCTGTGACATGGGGACAGATACTCACTTTAGCCTCAGGGGAAGCAGCTTTTTACAAGAAACCAGCAAAACTTATGAGAATGGGCTAAAATAAACTACTCCATAAGACATTTTGCTATATAGTTTCTTACACTGTTCATCATGAGCTCTCTCTCCAGATGCTCATTTTGTAAAAGCCAGCTTTCTATCCTTGTCGCAAGCTACCTTGAGTACTCACTACACTGAAAAGTCCAGTTACTTTTCAGCACTTTCTCTTGAAAACCCTGACCCAGGGATTTAGGCTGAATGCAAAGTGAATTGCTAAATAGCTTTGATTAATCTCAGCTTCATTTAGAGACCTATGCATGAAAATTGACTCTGAAGTCTAAGCACTCCTTCAGAGAAGCAATGCTTAGTTTAGTCACGGGAGGGAGCTCAAGACACTCACAAGAACAAGCAGCACTTAAATGCATGAGAGGCACCGGGAAACGGACGTTTCAAGTGAGGAGCTTCTCAAAGCGTTGCAGAAGCTACCTAATCCTGTGGTTATTATGTTCAAGGGCATTAAACGCTTCACAAGTGCAGAAAAGCGTAACATCTCCAAAGAATATGCTGGAAGCTCACAGCATGTCCACAGCGTCAAGGGATGTGGTTTGTTTGAACGTTGTCCGGACAGTTATTAAGTGTTTGCCGTATCAGGCAGAAGGAAAACCCTTTGCTTTTCCTCTCTATATATATTTAAGACTTGATATCATAGTATCACCGAAATGGAAATGAATAGGTAGGTCTCATGTAAGGCTCCACCAAGCTCATTCAGGTTAATCTGCATCTCATACATGTTTCCCTCTCACTTGCCTCTGAACGTGTCTGGAAAATTGCAGCAAATTGGATTCTTCATGGTCATTTTGTAGCATTCCGCAAGCACCACGACTCCTGTTAGCTTCATATTGCATTGAGTCTTTCCCAGTAAGTTTATAGGTCTATAAAACTCCAGGAAAGTTGTTTCCACCCTGAGCTCAGACACCTATTAGATGCCAATTAGACACAGCGGCTGCTCAAAATCATTTCTGGTGTACTTTTGTTCTTTAATGACCACCCTGGAAAAAAATTAGTCCTGAAAATGTCTAGGGAAAATAGCTCTCTGTGCAAAAATGCAAAAGACAGTGAAATAAAGATGTCACTGTGTAAGAAGGAATTAATGTAGGAATTCAAGAATTATGAAGGAAAGAAACTGGAGAACTACTACTTAAGTAGTCAGGCTAATTTATCAAATTAACATTTTCAACAGAAAATTGCAAAATTACAACACTAGAATAAGGAAATAATTTAATTCTGCTAGAACTTTTCCGTGTAATCATTGTGGTTTAGTTCAATAAAGAAGAAAACAACTGGCAGATGAAATGTGTAGCAGATAGCATGTTTGTCCATGTTTGCTGTTTGTCCTCTCATTGCAATGCAATTCTATACTAACACACCAGCAAAATCCCATTATTTCTGAAATTAAATGTGCTTCCTCTTAGATTGTCCATTAGAGAGGAGTTAACCAAAAAGCTACTCAGTGTCGTTTTGAATGAAAACTAGTTCAGTTTTTCTGTTGCTGTAAAATTGTCTGCTATAAGCCATGAAGTTTAAATCCTACCTAATGAAAGGATTCTGGGCAACATGACTCAGAATATTACTCTTCTCTCTGGAAGCTGATTTTATATTGCACAAACCATCCTGAGATGCCTTCCTCCCTTATCTGACCATTATGCAAACATGGCAGTGTTCAAGCAAAGAGAAGGGAGTTCTCACTTTGTATGGAAAGGACCCATTTTAGCGGGTTTGCTTTACTTCTTCCATTCTGCAAATCTCTGGTGACACAGCTGCCTTTGGATCACTGCCAGTTACATTCACATTGGGGGAAAAAAAAAAAAAAGACATACCACAAATATGGGATCATTGGCAGCCGCGTGAGGAAGAACACTGGTCCCATTGAGGAAAGAGGGAGCCAAGTTGTGAAGGCTCAGCATTGATGAGTTCAGGGTGCCGTCTGGTTTGTCGAACCCTTCCAGCGCATTCCTGTGGATGGATTAAAAAAAATACCTATTAATCAAGCCTGTCTCAGTCACAAACACGCGAGTAATAAGTGCACGTGAGGTAGCTGGCTTGCAGAGGAGCCGAAGGACAAACCTGAAACTGAAGCTGGAGTTCCGGAAAAACGGGGGGCTGTCGAACTCCCGCAGGGAGAGGCAGCTCCTGACGTCCTCCTCAGTGGGCAGCGGGCGGCCGGAGCCCCTCGGCAGGCCCCTCCGCAGCGGCCCTTCCTCTGTCCCGTTGCACAGCGTGACCAGGCGGTTGTAGTCGTCCAAACTGGGAGGGAAGCAGAAGAGGGCACAAGCTAGGACAGGGCGTTCGTGCCTGTTAGCCTTTTTCTCCCCCCACAGTGAAAAAGAGGCCTCACCTCACCTGAGGGGTCCTCGGTGAGAGGACCTTTCGGGAAGAGCTAGCAGAACTCCGTGCGTGCCCTCTCCCATCCCAGCTTTTGAGAAAAGTAGGCTTTGGCAGACAGCCCCAAACAGTTGAAACTTTTGGTCCTGAGTAATGAGTAGCATTCTAACTTTTAATGATTGAAAAAAAATAAAATAAAAAGGAGTCCCATTGTGAGGTGGCAAAAAGAAACGCAAGGAATGATAGAAAACAGGTTTGCACTTTCAGCCCTCATAGGTACCAGGAGAGAGGTGGCTGCAGTACATTGTTACCTCTTTTTCAGAGCCTGGGGGATAAAAGTGCTGCAGCTCATGAGGGGTCCTTTAGATCAGAGAGATCAAGAGGGAAGAAGAAAAACAACATAACAGCTGTAAAAAATATATCTGTATGGGCTATTCATTATATAAGAAATGGCACTTTCCTAAACTGCTGGGGTAAGAAAAGGCCTTCTATTTAACCTTGGCAAGACAAAAGTCCAGTCACTTCAGTTTTCAAGAAGAAAAACAAAACTCTATTTATTTTAGAGAAAAACTAGAGATAAAACATAATGCTAATGGGTGCCTAAGGCCAGTATTTCGAGTAGCTCTTTACATGCCCAGAGAAAGAGACTCTTTTCTGAAGAGTTCTGAACTTTCTGTACCTTCTTCTGACCTCGGATTGACCCCAGCCTCACAGAAGGATATCATAGAAGAAGGTGATCTTCTCATAGAAGAATATTATGTGAGTATTATAAACAACAACATCATATATCATAAGGGCCCGATCCTGCACATGAAATTCCCATCAACTTACTCAAAGAAGTGCCCTGCACTTACTCAAATCGCTGTATACCTACAGATAGCTGACAGCAAGATAGTGAGTAGGGGTTTTTTAACTTTGTTAGCTACATGAAAACTGAGTCACTTTGAAGTCAATACCAAAACTGCATTAAATATATTGGATTTAAGATCTCGCACAATGCAAACCAGATTTTTCAACCTATCCACAACTTCTTCCAAGATCAGTTGAGTGTTACAGAGAATGAGCATACTGGCTTTTCTCCTTTAAAAAACATACTTGCAAATGTGGCAAGGTCTTTAAACTTTTGTCAGACTCAGATTGGCTGAATCAACTAAAATCTTGTCCCAGAAGAAACATCCTAAGAATATACTTCCATAATACCAGTAGTAAAACTTAGATAGCACCATATAAAGCCTCCATGAGTGCCAGGTTTAAAAAGCAGCCTTGACTCTTTTCCTATCATTCCCTCCCACTGTGAGAGCAATATGAGCTGCCAATACTGAAAAAAAAGAAACAAAAAACAAGAAGCAAGATTTGGTCAGCTTGCAAGTTTTTTCTAGGAACTCTCTTACCTGCTACAAACTATTTGCCAGAGGGAGAATCTGGAGTTGGGGCTGATTAGGGTTGGGTCGTCTGGCCGGGATGCTCCAAAGAGCTCATCTGTGCACACATCGCACTCATTTCTACCCGTGGCAAAATCCCAATAGGGCAATGCAAAGGACTCATTGCCCATCAGTCTCTACAAGGAAAGGAAATGTGTTAGCAGGGGATCAGCTCTAAAGGAAAGATCTAAAAAAAAAAAAAAGTAATTTCCCAAAATTGTTTGCAAATGAATGACACATTTCATAATGCTGCTCCAACTCTTTTGCAAACATTGTTGCACTGAGTCAGGCCCAAGAAAAATATTGTCTGTAGTTATTGTACTGTTGAATTGCACTTTTCGGCCAAGTTAAGCTTTCTACTTAGTTCTTTTCACTCAGTAATCGAGCAGGAGAAGAGAAGAAAAGATGAATCAAGCCTTTAAACCATTAAGAGATTTTATGAGTGAAGCAAGTGGGCAATGGGTAAAATTGTTTATGTGTTTTTCACTCCAGAAAAGGTGGGGAGGAATCTGGTTTTGTCTTAATGCTTGCATTTGCTTGTTAGATAGGATTTCATGCAAGCAAGATCCCACAATTATTTTGATAACAGGTTAAAGTGCAGTAATGCTGCTAACACAGAAGTAATATAAACATGAATACTTAGGCAACCACCTGGCATATTAGCGTACATTGCTTTAAAAGTCTATACCTAAATATATGAATGTATTAAATGGCATTGTTAAAGGGATAATATTTGGAGTTGCTTTACCTAAGATAGTGTCTTCAAAACCAACAGGCAATATCTGTCACCAAGCTGTGCTTTTAAGTGTTGCTTTGATTTTATTAGACATCTTCTGTTCTTTGTTGAGACTATATAGGAAAATCTCAATGATAACCTTTATGTAATTGTTCAGAGTGAAGTCCCTAATGTGGGATCTGTGGTATCTTCATCTGGCTATTAACTCCATTTGAAGTCTTGTTCTTCTTGAAAAGGCTCACAGTCATCTCAAAACTGCTCAGAACCTTGCAAGAACTAAATTCACGTTAAATAAAAAAGGACCAGTAAGGAAATGTACTTGACAGTACGTTGTGTAAGAATCTATCCTAGGAAATATCCTTGGCTAGCCGGACAAAGATGTATAGCAAAAGAGAAAAGCTCCATGAAAAATAAAAAGGATGTTTTGCTAACCTGTAGATCTCTTTCCAGCAACAGCAAATGGTACCTGTGCCAAGTAACAAAGGCAGGTCCTTGATGTGAGAAATCAATAGCCGAGAAAGGGCGGCCAGGTCCTACAAAGGGAAGGCAGGATGAGCACTTCAGTACCAAATGAAGCTAGGCAGAAAGTGAGCACCTTCTTCTATTTTAGTCAAATTTAAACTTCCAGCTCTGCACCTTTGGAAAAGGCACAGATCAGAAGCCAGAATACTTGCACAGGACTGGCAAAACAAAGCCCTCTTTTTAATTTCAGCATTTCTCAAAACCTCACATTTCAAAAGGTTTGGCATTGCGAAGATTTCTTCCCATTTTAACATTGAAGAAACAATCTCAGAACCTAAAATCTAAGCTCCTCTCTAATATGTACCCCATTGTCTCTGCATTGTCTCTTGCTCTTACACATTCTTTTCTTTTTTCTTTTCTTTTCCATTCTTTTCTCTTTTCTATTTTCTTTTTTCTTTTCTTTTCCATTCCATTCCATTCTATCATAGTCTAATCTAATCTGTTAAAGTTACAATATGAGAGGATGTTACTGTTTAGAATCTGTTATTTTCCATAACCTGACAAACCTGCCAATAGTAATTCAACATGACCTTTTACACCTTTTTTTTTTTAATGGGCTTTTTAATTCTTTTAGACTCGTGTTTCATAGAATCATAGAATCACAGAATGCTTAAGGTTGGAAGGGACCTCTAGAGGTCATCTAGTCCAACCCCCCTGCACACACAGGGTCACCTAGAGCACGTGGCACAGGACTGCATCCTAGCGGGTCTTAAAGATCTCCAGTGTTTGTTGGTCCCCACTACAGAAGCTTCTGGAAGAACCAGCTAAAGTGATGGGGATTCTCTGCAGTGTTTTGCAAGGAGGTGAAGTATGATTCTGCAAAAGGAAAGAAATGTGGTGGGTTTTGCTGCTAAGCATTTCAGATCACTATAGTTCTCACAACTGTTTCCCTTCCTGGACCTCAAAAGCTCAGCAGAAGAGCTTCCATCACATTTTAGGAAGTCCTTGAAGAAAAGCAGTGCATTGTTTTCAAAATGTGTACTGACAAGCTAGTTTTTCCTACATTTAGCTGACCAGTTACTAGTGGGCACTGACATCACCTTTTCAGATAAATTCTTATCTCATAAAAAAAAGCTACTTGATATAACATAGCTTAGCCTTAAGGGGAAAAAAAAGCCATCTGTAATGTCTTAATGCATGCTTTGTACATAACTATCATTTTGCCAAGGAGATTTGTAATGGTTAACCATGCACTTACTTACAATTAAATCTCATGCTGGATTTCGGAAGAAATACAGATTTTTTCTTTTTAGCAATCCAGCAAAATGAGAGGTTGCCCTCCTAAGATTCACAAATAAACCCAGTTTTATTTTCTTACATGACTAGACGTTGATTCCACAGTGTCCCAACACGCTACACTAGCTCTAAACTTAAAAAAAAAAAAAAAAACGAGAGAGAGAGACATGTCAAAAAGTTACTTCCACAGGAAGAGATCCTCAAGTAACAGCTATTTGATCCTGTCCTGATGTTTCCCTGAATACAAAATAACTTTACACTGTTTGAGCGATAGTACTGGAGACAAGCAATGTCCTCTAAAAGATAGATTTTGATTGGCATCTTTTTAACATAAAGGATGCTTCTGAAGATGAGAATGGATCCACCAAATTTTAAAAGTATAGGAGTATGTTTTTAAGCTGTAAAGATCTTCATAGAGTATGCATGATAGACGGGTATTTGGTTCACAAAGATTTGGAAGATTTTATGATTAGTCTTGTATTTTCTATTCAAAACTAATCTCTCTTCTTGCTCAAGTCATCACAAAGATAGAAGAGTTCAAATATATTGATCTCCTCAATGACAAATTAGTCACCATTTGTATTTTCATTTTAACAAAAGCCATTTCCGATATTTAGCAATTTTGTAATAATGGTTTCACCAAAATATCATATAGAAAATCCACTTTGATTCTCACATTGCACTTCCACAATGTGACTAACCTTATACACTGACATCATAGCTTTGATAGGCGGTGAGCTGACAACCTCTCCTGCATTTGCAACATTGTTTAGAGGAGAGCAGTCTAATGGATAACCCCACATTGCACAAAAAACTGAGGCAATGAAAGAGCAGATTTCTCAACCCACGTAGGGATTTGCTTATCATTGCAGTGGCGCTGCCTCTTTCCACAAGACTGTCTTATCCTCTGAAGGCTTCCTGCTTTTGCTAAGTCCTTCAACTGTCGTACTCATCCCAGCAAGTTTCAGAAGAAGAGACTGGAGTAAACCCGCTCCAGGGTAACAGACACTCTCCAGCAGTGGCCAGGTGAATCCCACGTTCAGTCACTTGCTAAAAGCCACAAACGGAGACTCAAGGTCAAGTAGGCAGAGAGACTCCAATCTCGGAAGTCTCTGGATGCTGCCTTCATCTGTGAAGAACCCTTTTCTCCACTTTTACTGCCTCTACCTTGTAGTCTGTATTAAGAAAGTCTTTTTGAGGTGAATCACTGGCCACACATCAGCCTACTCAACACAGTAATCCTGGAGCAAATGAACGGTCCTCCCACCAGGTGGAAGGTGCAGCTCATGCACCTCAGCAACCACCCAACTTTCAGTCCTTGGGAGCAGGTCTAAAGCAGAACTCCCCAAACTGCATATGGCCACCAGGTCCTCAGCATCAGCTGTTTATTCTACAGATCTGCTCCTACTGGGCCTCACTGGTTGCTAAGGTAACAGTCCTGTTAAACACTTAGCTTTGTTCAGCATTTATACATTACTTTACATGAAGGACCCCTTCAATAAGAAAAGCACTCACCTAACAGTGTGTCTCTGACGGAGTAGTAATGAAGCCAAACAAAGTAGTTATAGATACTGCAGTTTGCAATTTGTGGCTCATTTCCTGCAGGACCAAGCAGACTCATCCAGTGTTGAGTTGCAATTACATAGTCTGGATGAATGGTTGTCTTTGCCTGGTGTAAAGCATCGAAGAACTGCTCTCTCTCTGCTGCAGTCAGGGAATGGATGTTCTTCCTGACAACTGGTGGCTTCCTCTCATTGCAGTCAGGGCCAGTCCAGCCAAACTTGCAATCACCACAGTTATAGCCAGCAAAGTTCCCTGTGTTGAGAGGAAGAAAGCATCCATGAAATTATGAATCAAGGAAAACTAACCTTGAAATGCAGAAAAATTAAGAATTAGTGTTCCTTTCCTCCCCAGAGACTTCAGTCCCTGGAAGAGACAGCAGCTGAGTAGACTGGCAGCTTTGCAATTGCTTAACTGTAAGGATGGCTCACTTCCCAGGAGCTCAGGCGGGCCAAGAATCACACTCAGCTGGTTGCGCGGGTGAAGCGCTGGATGATAGGCTTGATGCCTTCAGGTGCTGAAAACACTGCAAAGCCCTCAGGCGTCTGAGGATTTGCGCAGAACTGGGGTTAAGCACTTCAGGTTAAGCACGTGATTAAGTACTTTGCTTGACTGGCTCTCCAGTACTCCCAGACTTCCAGGATCAAACCCCCAAATTGGTCTGCTCATGCGGATCTTTAAACACAGTAAAAAAATTCCAAAACAAAACAGTGCAACAAGGACAGAGCCCTGTGAAAAACAAAGTCTGTTAGCAGCATTTTCAGGAGACCACAAAATCCAGGACAAGCACCAGGGGTGCTGCTGGTCACACTTCAAGCATTCTTAAATGGTGCTGAAATAACAGCCTGAGAAGCAGCACAGTACTGTCGTTCCCTGGTGGCATTTTTTCTGAGGCAACTAATCAGGTCTGCTCTAGTCTATTAACTCAGATTCTCTAATGTGGTGGAAGAGTCCAGGAATACAAAGCTCGCTTTAAGCGCAGACACCGTGGCCTCTTGCCTACAGTGGCAGACTGCCAAAAACAGCAGAAAGACCCCGCTGGAGCGTGGTAAGCTGTCTTTGACTTTGCTGGAGGAGATGAGGAGTGTCTGTTCTGGCAATGTGCAGCTATCTCTTGCCCAGACTGCTAGTGCAGGAGGGGTGCAGATTAGTGGGCATTGCCACGAGAAGGTGGGGAGAGAAAGGATACAGCCAGGGCTCCTCAGAGATCTCCACTCAGCTCTGCAAAAGTTGCACTGAGACCTTCTCATTCCACACCCTTCCTGTATACACATGCTACTCCACGATGACCATGCCAATGGCCTTAGAATCACAAAATCATTAAGGTTGGAAGGAACCTTTAGAGATCATCTAGTCCAACCCCCTGCTCAAGCAGGGACACCCAGAGCTCCTGGCGCTGGGTCGCGTCCAAGTGGGTTTTGAAGATCTCCAGAGAAGGAGACTCCACAACCTCTCTTGGCAACCTGTTCCAGTGCTCTGTCACCCTCACTGTCAAGAATTTTTTCCTTAAGTTCCTGTGGAACTTAAGTTCGTGGTCGTTTCCTCTTGTCCTATCTCTGGCCACCACTGAAAAGAGGCTGGCCTCACCTCCTCCCTTGAGGTACTTATAGACACTGATCAGGTCCCGTCTCAACCTTCTCTTCTCCGGGCTGAACAGGCCCAGCTCCCTCAGCCTCTCCTCATAGGGCAGATGTTCCAGGCCCCTGATCATCCTCGTAGCTCTGCGCTGGACTCTCTTCAGTAGCTCCATGTCCCTCTTATACTGGGGAGTCCAGAACTGGACAAAATACTCCAGATGTGGCCTCACCAGGGCTGAGTAGATGGGCAGGATCCTCTTCCTCAACCTGCTGGAGACAAGGGAGCAGGCCTTCCAGAAAGCCACAAAATCTCACTTTTCCCCACACACATTTCAGTGCTGTCCCAGGACAGGCTAACGTGAAGATGGGAAAGTGGCTTTTGAAGAGCTCCTGGATGGGTAGATGTCCTTAAGTTGCAGTGTTGAATATAGAAGTGTTAACACTACAGTAAGATTTCCGACTGTCAGCAGGTATGGAGCTACAGTTAATCAACCATCGGAAAGGCTCCTGAGGTTGCAAGAGGTGTTGTCACACAGGTTATAGAGCTTAGGGCTCACTCCAGGATAAGGACTGCAGAGCTGTAAGCATTTGTTACAGACTCCTGGGAGACCTACCAAGGGGGTATGAGAACTCTTAATTTCAGGTCTGAAGATCTTATGAGGCTATGAGATTGATACATTTAAATGATTTCACAAAGCTTAGGACCAGTGATAGGGTTATGGGCAACCGAAGCGAAGACTATACCTATGTTTTGCAAAGCCTGAGACACAAAAAAAGGATGATAGCCTGGCATATGGTTTATGTTCCGTCCTGATGCAGGCAGGAATAGCTGGGCTAGGCTAGGATTGGAGACACCAGAAGCCAGGGGTCTGCTCTGGTTTATGGTGGTGACAACTTATTCCAGAAAAAGCAAAGAGTTTATAGTTTTCACGAGAGGAAGCAGGAGTACATGGATATGTTATGGTGGTGCGGGAGATAATTGATCTCAATTATGACTGAGATGGGGGAAGCATCGATTTTATACTTTTATCCTACGAGTCCCATGAGAAAAGCATGACTGCTCATTTGAGTTGATATACTCCACTACCTTTACTATCGCTTATTCTTGACAACCCAAGTTAGCTATTAGTCTGTCACATGCTCCAACCTGTACTGACCAGAGAAAAAATCTTCAGGAAGAATGTAGAATGTCACCTAGTTAGCCATGTATATTGCAAGAGCCGTTCATGAACTTCTGGAAAGAAACAGATGTCCCTTTTCACCCAAAGGTGCAATTCAGTTCTTTTAAAGAGAGGATTGGCAAAGCAGGAGTTAACCTTGAAAACATTCTGTCAGCAACCTTTTGTGAGATCGGAGATAGCCCTTACAGTAATTCTAATAACGCATTTACTTGCAGGGTTGGATAAGCACCACATTGAGACACAGTATTAACAGAGCCACAATTAATGCAGGACCAGGTTTTGCCTGTCTAGCACCTATTTCTGTCTCAGTGAGAGGCTCATTCTCCTCCATTCTTCTGTTCTGAGATCACTTTATCAGGCAACATCCATAGCTTAGGTATATTCTGTGTCCTCAGGCTATGGGAAGAAATTTGCAAAGGCCCAAGAAGGTGAGTCATCTGGGGAAACAGGCTTTCCTCCACCAGCATGGCTCTGGAGCCAGGCAGACCTGTGACTACACGCCTACTCTCCTTGGGCAGGTGCCAATTATTCTGTGGCTTTTTCTCCCTTAGCAGGCTGATTTACCAAGTAACCAAAGAGGTCCATTCTCTACTCCACTCCGCTAGGCACTTTTCAGTGGGACATGCACTTTGAGCAAGAAAGAGAACTGGTGTCAAGGAAGAGACTGGCAATCAGGAGCAACCAATCTCTTGGCAAGGTAGGAATTCATGCCACGGGACTTCTGCTATTTGTCTTGCATTTTTTTTTTATCAGCCTCTGGTCTGCTTGGCAATGTCCTACACACACACAAACACTTCATGAGACAGCAGTTAATTTTCATTATTTTCTTTTCCCGCATCACAGGATTGTTGCTATAGAGCAGCCTAAATGGGGAGAAGTTGGTGGAAGCCTATGGTATTTCCCAGATTGAAAATGAGAAGGTTTTCAGGAGGCAGGCGCATTTTGTGGGTGTGTGTTCTAGCTAAGACACTTTTTCAGCAGTTGTTTCATCCTTCTAAAGCTAAAGTGCTACTAGCACGTTGGTCTCGAAACAATGCCTTGCTATTTCCAGAAAGTTCATGTACCACTTTGCAGAACTCCCACATAGCACCACTGTGAAATACACGTCCCAGGCCCTTACAACCTAACCTCCGTGTCTGCTACTCCAGTGGCAGACTGAGCTTATAGGGATATAGTGCTCAGCTGACATTTGCAGCAAGATAGAGAACCTCTCAACATTTTATGAACACTGGAACCGTAGGATCAATGAAGGATTTGTGTCTCAGCATTTTCCTGCTTTCAATGACTAACATGTAGCAATTCGGTGCACAATTTCTCTGAGGCTATGCTAAGGACTACCTAGATTTCCTTACTTCTTGTGGTGCCTAGGCAACACAGTGCAGAAGGTCACACCAGCACACAGACGGAAGATAATGTTACAGTTGGGGTCCACATCTTCTCGGGTATAGGCCCAGCTTGCTCCATGGCTTCTAGGAATAATCACTGCACTGATGGTGGGGAAAAAAATCATGTGGAGCTTCTTCCCCACTAAACCTATTTGTCTGGAGATGGCATCCCACTCCTCAGGAGCTCTCTTCCTCTGTATCTCTCCTCACCACCATTAATGGTGTTTTTCCTGATAAAGTTGCATAGATTTGGCTGTTTCTGTAGACCTGATGGCCTTACTAGTTCTCTTCTTGGGTCATTCCATGGACATGACACTGGGAAAATGACACATCTTATGACATGCCATTTCTTATGTGTTCAGAGACTTCACTGGTATATGGTAATGTCAGCTGGCACATAGCACTTCAACTGCTTCTCAACCTCAGGGACTGTCTGAGCTCAAAGACGGATTTTTCTACCTCTGAGCAAAGTCACAGCACATGGTCAGTCCTCAGATACCGAAGGTAACACAAATCAGTAACTCCTACAACTCAGTGTTAAAAGTGTTAATTTCTTCAGTAAAAATAAACCCAACTAACCCTCACCATCTTCTATGTTTTTTTTCTTGTAGCAACACGAAATCTGTCCCTCCTCTTCCTTTCATGGAGAACAGCTAACACATGATAATTTATCAAATGAGGATAAAGGACTTTTTCTTCAGGGTACTTCAGCCACTACATTAACACAGGGGTTACACTAGAGTTGAAACCCCAGCATACAGCAGTATCCTAGGGGTGAGATCAGGTTTCTTGCCATATGAGTCAAATGGCTAGTTTTCCTGCAATAAGGGTCACTAGCCTCTGCTTTTGGACCTCGTTTTAGGCTGCAGTGCAGGTTGGATTTGAAACAGTTATAATTTAGCATATTCTACAGCCACATTGCCCTACAAGAAGAAATTAAGTGTACTTATAAGCTCACTTTTGCCTAATGGGAGGACAATCTTATCAGCTGTTTAGGCTTTCCTGGAAATATGCTTACAACTATACGACAGAATTTAAATCTCCTCTCTACAACCCAATCATTTATTACATGGGAATGTAAAAATATTTGATTATTTTGCTGCCTAAAAACTTCCATGGACAGCAAACAAAACTAGTTCAGAAGTGTTTAATGCAGATTTTTTCCAACCTGACATTAGGCATCCTATTGAAATATTGATTTTTGTGTAATTAGCCACAAGCAACAATTTCCAAGGTCTACTAGACAATGCATTTTGTCTAAATCAAAACATACCACTTATTGAAATACAAACGACCATCTTCCCTTCATGGAATATAGGACAATGTTATGGAACTGTCAATAGTTCAAGAAATTTACGCAAGCTGAATTAATAGTAGGAGTATCTAAATGCATCATAGAATACATACAATGGATTCAAACCTATTATTAAACAAGTACTAATAGCTCTTTGCTACATCACAGCTACACTCATGCCATAACCACAGTTTTTTCTAGAGATTGTATTTTTGCTGCCATCAGCACATCGAGTGAACCATGTGCAGTTAGGATAACAGCCTTACGATGGTCTTTTGTATAACATTCTTCATGTAAAAGTTGGGGAGACGAGCTGGATCTTTCTGTTTTAATCTCTTCCATTGCTTTTGTGCCGATATACAAAAAACTAATGTGTATTATCTGCTAAAGCCTAGAAAAGGATGAGATTTTTTTTCCTTTCCATAGAAAAGTAAATGAATTCACAAAACTATCAAAATAATCTGGCTCCATAATAACCAGGTATCAATGTTTTGGGGATTTGGGATTTCCTTCAGAAATGTTCAGCACCCAGACTTGGATGGTTATGATTTAAAACAATATTCTGTATTGAATAGCTACAGGCCTTTCAGAAGGCCTTCTATCCAAGTAAGTATTCAGCAGAAAGCTCAAACAGAATAATTTACTGAGAGATCTCTAGAATTGTCTTCTGGAAAATACTGATCCTGTTGCTCACAGCTCCTCCAACAAGCCTATTGTGCCACCATGAACAATGTGATATGGTTAATAGCATTGTCTAATCAAATATAATCAAACATATGGCACTTGGAATTCCCATAGCTATCTCATGCCATATCTAAAGTGTAAATTAAACAGTGCCCGGATAGCACTGGAGCGCAGTCCCCTATGGCATTAAACTATTTGAAAGAGCCTTAGCATGGGTTGGATTTATCACAGACCGGGAATTATTTCACGTCACACTTGTTTGGAAAATAAGAAACCTCAACAGTCCAGATGCGCACTGTTCCAAACTCCTGCGAACAGGCAAATTAAATTCACTAGCCTAGACACCACAGGCCTAGATGCCTAAAAACAAGCACACATGATACGTCTTAAAACTCTGGTGCACAGCCAACTAACCTGTCAGAACAAAACAAAATAAACCAAAACGACAACAACTAAACGCTAGTAGACACAGGCTTTCAATCACCAGGACCAGGCTCACAGCACCAGGTTTAGCAGTCACAGGAGAACCAGGTTTGAACATAGCATTGCAATATCCAGAATCTTCCGGGAAAGAAAAAAAAAGGGGCTGTGGGAACTACAGAGGGAATTCTAGGGGAAGACAGTGAAAACCCGAAGTGTTGCATGAGAGAATGTGCTTTTTTAAGCACGGTGCTCTGAACACCAGTACCTGCTCTATTCTGCACTGGGAATAGCATGGCTTGGTCATAAACTTGATTGAATTCTTGGAAAACTGATAATATTGATAGCCTTCTTGTTGCCTCATTCCAACAGGGACCTCTGCAGTCCTTGGCCCTGCTCAGAGCAGGGTTAGCACATCTGTCCGCCCCTCACCGCCAGCGTCCCCTCTCACCTGTGCACTGGCAACTCTGATTGAAGAACTTGAGGGGCCATCGTTCCCGGTCGTCCACGTTTCGGAGGGTGTACGGGCCGCTCCAGGGCTGAGCGTCCGCGCGCACCCCCTGGCACTGCCCTCTGCCCTGCAGGATCCCGCACACGTTGCCGGGCTCCGGGCCCAACACTGGGCAGCATCGCTTCAACCGAAGGGCCTCCACCGTCATACAGGCGCGAGGAAACTGTGCCTCCACCCCGGCGGGACAAGAGCAGCTCAAAAACCCCAGCAAGGCCCAGAGGAGCTTCCTCCCAGAGCCCATTGCTCCCCAGCACTGGTTCTCCCCTCTGCAGGAATGTAGCAAGCGGAGCACAGAGATCTGCTCAGTGGGATCACAGGACTGCTGGGCCTTGCAGCTGCTCCATGCCCCGCCTAACCAGGATAATTCCCCTCGCTGCTGAGGATGCCGGCGTTGGGCCTTCACTTAATCCCGGCCTCTAATTGCCTTGAATCTGGTTCAGAAGGCAGGAGTTGTGGCTCTGTGGTGCCTGCGCAAGAGCCACCGCTTTGAGCAAGGGTTTATATAGAGGTTGGGAGAAGTCCTCATTAGAGGGATTAGCGCTGCACAAATCCTCGTGTTTTGCACATGACATCAACGGCAGAAAAGGCGCCAGTGTGAGAGCGAGTTCTGAGGGCTCTGGCAGCTTGTCAAGAGCGCGAATGCCTTGGATTTCTTTCTACACGTCGTGCCTGTCTGTCATGTGCTTTGCGAAAGTGATGGTCGCAGTTTTGCTGAGGTGGCTAGAGAAACAGTTTTATTCTTTTAACCCAAACCCTTGTAAACAGATGATAAATAGAAAGGAAAACTCTTCTTTTTTTTTTTTTTTTTTTTTTTTTTTTTTGGTTCATTCACTGCAAAAACAAAAACACTTTTCACTAAAGAAGCAGCAGGAGAAATGAACTAGAAGTCCAGAGGACATAGGTTCAGCATAAACAGAAATTAATAAACCTGGCAGTAACATCTTAGATGGAGTCTCCATCTGCTGACTGCAGAATTCTAGTACTCTTCCAGTAGCATTTAAGTGGCAAGTGGAGATGGACTCATTTTTAATAATATTTTTGCATACGGAATGAATTATTTAATAGCTTTTTAAACCTGAGTGGAATCTGTCTGGTCTCTAATCTTTTCCTCAGCATTACCCAAAGATTGTTATGGGGCATGGTCTGATTACTAGCCTTTCCAAACTGTCACATTTATTACCCACTGTAGGAGACAGTCTGTAAGATCAATACACACAGCAGACTTACAGACAAGTGGCTTTATTCAGAATATCTACAAAATGACTTTAAAAAGCTGCTAGTATGCAGCAGTTCTTGCCCGCAAGGCAACTCTTATGTATTAGAGGGATAAAAGGAATAAATCAAAATAAAGTAGTGATAAGTAACAAAAGGAATCTTAAAAGCAATACTCTTAGTTCATTTCTACCAGGCAGAATAAAAACTTGCATCTCCCAGTAGTAGCCTGAAAGCTTTCTCTAACTCCCAATCTCTCTCTTTCTCTCCAGTGTTTAGGCAGTTTTGTAAATAGATATAATAAAAAACAGCTGTGGTTATAGCTGTGGTTGTGTCTATACTATTCAATATTTACATGGATGTTCAATCACATTATCCTACAAGTCTGCTATCTATGCAACAAACATTACCATCACACAGCTAAGGACTTCATTGATGCTGCAGATATTATAATCAGCTTTTTCAAGCTCTAAAATCATTATATCAAAAAAGTGTCATTTGCCAGACATGTTCAATTGTCTTTCTACACTATCTACGAAAACATAAAGCAAATTAGCAAAGCCATGTAATATAGAATACATTTCATCTCCCTTAGGATCCAATTTACCTAGAACTGACTTTTGTCTGCTGCTCTCTTTTACACAATATGTAAAAAAAAAAGACAGAAAGCAAGCGTAGTGTTTGGAAAAATGTGTTGAAGAAGTTCAGAAATTATAAATGCATACACAATGCATATTAGCATTGAGCATTAACTCAATCCCAATTTGAGCAATGCAGCTCCCCTGTCCTCCCTGAAAACACGTCTGTGATGTGGGGAAGATCAGTACATGCAGATAGGTTAGATATTTTCTTGAATTGGAGTTACCAACACATCATCTTAGCGCAAATAAAATGAACATTTTACACGTATCTACTGGCACGTCCAAAAAGAGTCAGAAAATACTGCTGGAGTATAGCCGGCTCACTGAACCCCTAATCTGAGGTCTCTACCTATAAAATGCATGTGTGAGCAGCCATTACAGTCAAAGCTGACTCAGTTCAGAGAGCCCTATAAAATTTATTAGTGCCATTTCAGACCCCATCTGAGGCAGAAAGAGTGGGAACAGAGAAAGGCGAGGTATTGAGAAAGACAAGGAAAAGTTAGGCAAGGAAAAGTGTTTCTAATGTAGTACAAGAGAGAGGAGAAATGATTACTTTTCAGGGAAACTAGATCGGAAAGAGAAGAAAAGGAACAGCAGAAAGACATATGACGATTACTTAGTTAACAGAGGAAAGAAAGCAATAACAAGCATAGTAGTATAAGACAATACTTTTTCTTATTTTTACTCCCTTCCATTGCAACTACATAATTTTTCAAAACTGGTAACATGCTATGGCATGCAGTATTGTGTAGATGTAGCATTAGTCTCTTCTGCTCTTCAGCAGTGCATCCAGATTTCAGGTGTCCAAGGAGCTCTGGAGGTGTTCCATGGTCTGTTTTCTCACATGTCCATGTGTCTAGCACTGGAATAGCCTCGTTTCTTTTGTCCCTGTTCAGAGACAATTCAAACTGCCCTGTATTAGCCAATCTGTTCCTGCATAGCTTGGTATGAAAGTATTTGCTACCACGAATGTTCACCTCTAGTGCTCTATTAAATGTATTTAATCATAAGTGTCACATTTGCATGTAGTTCTTTTTATAGAAAACCACTTCTTCGTCATCTTGCAGAGATGCATCCATATCAGTGTCAATCAGCTCAGTCTTCCCCAAGCAGATGTCTACTGCCTTTTGAGCTGTCCCCGGATTTCTGAGACATGCTTTCCTCCTTTCCCATTCCTCCTCCTACCTGGGCTGAGCCACATCACTAAACATATGTTTCACAGGTTTCACTTCAGGAGGAGAAGTAATTCCATCGGGCATGCTTAAAGAAAAGAATTACATGAGCAATTGGTTTCATCAAGACCTCACTCACTGTTCTCCTCAAACTCCAGCCTAATTATTCTCATGTCTTTTGTGTCTTTGCTTCCTTTCTCTGCATTTTCCTTTCTATCTTAGGCATAATCTCTCCTTTTTATTTTTTTTTTTTTGAGCTATTCAGAATTTGAACAATACTAGAGCTGCAGGCATTTGGGTTGCCTGGCTTGAAATTCAGATAACTGATTTACACATGGAAAACTTCTGGATATAATGTGATGAATTGCTGTACAGGACACAGAACAGCATGTAAGAAGCTGGCACATTTACAAATAGCACCATGAGGAGTAGCTGGAGTGGTAGAGGAGGAGTTATATGAGAGCAGACAAACCCTGCGGATAATTCAAGGGGACCATTAGAGACATTTACAGGCTTGCAAAGCCAGCAGGACCTTGGAAGCCATAACAGCAATACCGCAATGTAAGGCTGAGATTGACCAGTTAAGGGTAACAGAAATGCCGAACTGCTGGGCAAAAAAAAAAAAAAAAAAAAAAAAAAAAAAAAAGTGGTTAGAGGTGAAAAAAAAAAAAAAAAGGAGATCAGAGCTTTAGGAGGAGATCAGAGTGGAGAAAGGGTGGAAAAGGATGGCAAAGAAACAGAAAAGGGATAAGAAGATCCTGTGAGGGGTGCTGGCAGCCCTGTGCTTGGTCACCACAACTGGAGCAGGACACCAAACCGAATCCCCCTTGTCCTCACCACAGCGAGAGAGCTGGTTCTGCATCTGTGGTGGGAGGAAGGAGACGGGCACAGGGTGCTCTCCCCACCTGGCCAGGAGCACTGGGCAGAGACACGAGCCACCCCGGTGTCCCCGTGCTGGCGCCTGCTCCAGGCTTGCCTGCATCAGCAGCTAACCACAGCTGCCAGCTGATAGCACGAAAGACACCAAATAAAACCACAAGAAGATAGCTGTCTTTTAATTAGGCTTTGAGGAAATTGCAGTTAAATAAAGGGGCCACTATTATAGCTGTACAATATCAGCACTACCCTGATTTTTCAAGTATCATGCTGAATGACCTTTTATTTACTGTGCGGGTTTATTATCTGTTCAAAATGAGTGCTGTTGTGTGTTTCCACTGTTGCTAACAAGTATTCATAGAGAGTTGTCAAAGAGCTTTTCAAATAACTAATTACAGCGTAAGGGTACTGGCTAAAGTTCCATTGATTGAATTTTTGACCAAAATGGGTTTTTTTCACAAGTTTAGAACTGCTGTGGTCAGATTGAAATTGTATTTAATTATTTAATTTGTTAATTAAAATATTTAGACTTCATACTGAAGCACAGGAAGACCATAATTCAGCTTGCTTGTAGCCTGGACTCATGCCCAGATTCACCCACCAAACTCTTCAGCCTATCTCCAAAGGGCAGTAAATAAATATATCAGCATCTTTAGAGTTAACACATTCACATAATTTTGGGTGGCAAAGAGGGAATAAATAAGCAGAATACCCTAAGGTACAGACAAAAAAAAATCGCTAAACACAGTTCACCCAAGTAATACAGAATTCCTGAGCAGTAAGTAGGCAGTTCACATTTTTTTCCTTAAAAGACTGTATTGTTTTTCAAGATCCTTCTACTGTACTCAAGGACAGATTAGCACCAAAACAGAGATTTAGCCTTTGAAATTTTTGAAAGAATTATGGGCAAAACGAAACATTCTGCACATAAACTTATGTGGAAATTAATATATGAACAGAAAGAACAAACCACATGATGATTCATCATGATTTTTCTGGAGATGATAAGATAACTCCATACATAAAGGGAAAGGTCAAAGTGGAAATAAGAGGGACAGGAAAATGACAAGCATGTATGTGTTCCATAGGAAGAAGAAAAAGATTTTTGAAACACAAGGAGGAAATAGAAAAGAAAGACATCATATGATAAGAAGCAAACTCAGTCAAGTCAATCTCTGGTATCTAAAATCCAGCATCTAAAACTGAAAAAAAAAAACACTTTAGAAAACCTTGGGCATTGACAACACGTTTAGTTTCTTTTCTTGTAAAAGGAGAGAATATAACACATCTGATTCCTTGCCCTGCCAAACCACCTTTACATGAATACATTGTCATAAATC